TTTACAAAGATACCACAGTCTCCAAGTTAAGTCCCAGAGGAGCCCCAGTCAAGAGGCTTTAAACTCCTAGAAGCCTCTGTTCTTCCTGCTCACAGGGCAACAGACTCCAACTGGAGTGCTCATGTTGACGCCAAAAATAGAAGCAGGGCATATCTTCAGGCTCTACCACATCAAATGTTCACAGTGCTCTGGGTCTTGCTGCTCTGAGCCATAGGTATTTCAGAGAAGGTGAACCTGATCCGTAAACACTACTGACCAGGCTCTACAGGTAAACTCAGCCCTCAACCCAGGTCAGAGTGTGGTTACCACAGAGCTCTGATTCAACTCTTCTCCCCTTCACAGAGCAGTTGGTGAAGAGATGGCCCTTCCTTGCGGTTCCTTTATGTGGTCATGGAAACACATGTATGGAACGGTGACGTGCCAAACTGGCAGAAAGCAGGATAAGGACACAACATACAGCGCTCTTCTGTCACCCACTCGCCTCGCTGGCTCTCCCGTAATGCCATGGCCCCGCTCCCAGTCTTCACGGTTGGCCCCCACGTGCAAATCAGAGCTTGCAAAGCACTTTCTTCTTTGGCCTCCCAGGAACCCTGGGAAGCGAGTATCAAGAAGTACTCGGGAGAAAGATAAAGAGCACATAGCCAAGAGAGACAATGCCGTGAGTCTGGAACGTGGTCACCTGACAGGAAATGGCCTTTCATCATTCTGCCCCAAACTGCTGGTGAAGGAAAGCAAAGCCAAAAAAAGCAGCAGCATGCATTTCAATTTACGTTGCTTTTTTTTTTTTGGCCATGGAAATTTTACTTGGCAGCTGAAGCTTTGAGATAGCTATTTGAAAATGAGATTTAATTTGGATTGAAGGAAATGAAAATAAAGAAGCCAGAGAGAACAGAGAAATGAACAGTGACAAGGAAAAAGTAATAAACGAAGGCGGGGGGAGGCAGATAAAAAGGAGGTTTGCCCAAATGTCTGCCTAACACTCACCTTTGTCCTGACACAACCCATCTCCACACCTGGCTCCTGGTTAATGAACATAATTTGGTTGACGTCCCTTGAACTGTATAATCTGTTCCACAAAAAACAAACCCACAGTTTGTCTCTAAGCCACTTTTTAAGTCCCTAACTCCCTGGTTACATTCAGTCTATGGAAAACATCTGGGGCAAAGTAAATCATCCTACTCTGAGAAAGACCAGCATGTATTTTTCCCCCCCCCACGTGTATTTTGAAGTCCTGGTTGGAAAATTATTGAAAATTGTAAATCTGTTTGCAAATCTGGTCATGTCTAACTCTGAGATTAGGGCAAAGATTCCAATTTAAAAGTAAAACCGTGACAACCCCGGTTAAGCGTGTCCTTAGGCACTGCCAGGAGGGCCTTGACTTACTTCCACGGGCAGCGGATTTATTACAGGCACCCGACACGTTCCCCATCAAACCCCTAGAGTATTTACTTGAGACAGCAGGGTTCAGCCTGCACTTCCTCTGTAGACCAATATATTATTATAAATGGAGCTAAACTGTTTCCTTTTCATAAGTGCTATGAAGTTCAGATTTCAGGTATCAGCACACAGCCGAGGTCCCTCCACAGGGCTCCTTGTAGGATTTGAATTCTAAAAAGTAAAGAGAAAAAAGGCAGCAACAGACTACGGTTGCTTTTATTTTTGCCTGATTTTATTTAAGAGGAGATGGAGGAAAGCTCCTTTTAGAAATTGACTGTGACATCTTAATAAAGCAAAGAATAATTTTCTTTAATAATAATAAATAATAAAGAAAATACATTCTAAACGAATATATTCTAAAAGCACACTTTGGGTACACTGTGCCGTGCCTGGCCCAGATCAGTAAGGTACCAGCTATTTCCCCTGGATCTGAACACAGGAGCTGGGAAATCAGGAACGGGTATTAGGTCTTGGGTATCAGCTCCTATAAAATAATAATGCTCTCTTTGGTTTATCACCTACAGTAGCTAAAGGGACAAATGTATATTTCAAAATGTATATTCATTATAACATATAGTATTTTTGTTATTCATCTATTTCTGAGGCAAGAGAAACATAACTTTAAAAAGAAAGGGAAAAGAAAGAAGCACACATAACACTCTTGTCATCTTCTTCTCTTTCCTTCCAGAAAAATTTAGTCCTAAAGCTTTTAGGTGAAGCAGAGGCATCATGGTGAGGGAGAGAGAGGAGGGCCCCAGGAGCCCAGTGTGGGGGTCAGCACCCACATAGGAGGAAGGGGGTGGTTTGACGTGGGTGTCAGAGCCCAGATGGGACAAAAGAACAAGTTCCAATCCACACAGCCTACTAGCTGTGTAACCATGGCGACGTCATTACATCAATTGAACCTGAACTGATTCTTGCGCAATTTAACGATCATCTACTTTTTAGTGTTATGGAGATGATTAAAAGAATGCTTGACTTGCTGTTAGTCCCCAGTAAATGTGGTTATTCACATACTACTATTATTCCAGATATACATATGTATAGAAAAAAGACTGAAAAAGAATATACCAAGACAGGTCTGAACCTGATTTTTATATTCTTCTTTCATTTCATACCTTCCAGTGTTTCTTTTCTCTACAATGAACATGTATTTTACTTTCATAATCAGAAAAGAACACACAAGATGTTCTTAAATAAATGGATGGCAGATGAACTTCTAAAATATATATTTATTATTTCTATATGCAGAAAATTAATATAGCAATTTAGAATGGCACCAAATGACTCTCACTTCTTTTAAAGATACAAACTGCTAATAGAAACTCCTGAACAAAGTAACCAAAGGCAAGTGGTTTATTGGCTGAAACTAAAACCCATTTATACTCAAGGTAAATATCCATATCTGGGTGATACATTAAAAAATGAGTAATAGGGGGCGCCTGGGTGGCTCAGTCGTTAAGCGTCTGCCCTCGGCTCAGGTCATGATTCCAGGGTCCTGGGATCGAGCCCCGCATTGGGCTCCCTGCTCCACGGGGAGCCTGCTTCTCCCTCTCCCCCTCCCCCTGCTTGTGTTCCTTCTCTTGCTGGGTCTCTCTCTGTCAAATAAATAAATAAATTTATAAATAAATAAATAAATAAAATAAAAAATGAGTAATAATCTGTGACCTACAAATGATGCTCGTTGATGGGGCAGAGACTTCAAAATAAAAACTAAGTTCACGAGGCAAGGAGAGGGTCTCAGGAAGAGATGACCTTCAACCCAAAAATGTTCCCACATAGAGATTTCAGTGTAATGGAATCAAGTCTAAATGGTCCCTTTTAGAGCAGGAAAAGCTCTAAAAGCATATGAAACCTGCAAACCATCCTAATCCCCTGTACCAACCCAGTCACCTTAGGCAAATTAGTTAAGAAAAGAACAATCTCCATACCATCTCCCTCACAAGCTTGTTTGCAGAGTGAATGGGGCTGCTTATGTGAAACTGAATCATAAACTATAGAGCAACATGCAAATGGAAAGCAAGAGATGCAGGGCTTGCTTAGATCAGCATTCAGCAAAGGTGGTAATCAGCCCATGAGAAGAACTGAAGAGGTAAAGGGGCACAGTGCTAAGCACCACTGAATCACACACCATGGGAAAGTAATTCCCTACATAATGATCCTCCCGTCTTGCTGCTGACAAGGAGAAAGGCTCTGATTGGTACCATCATACAGTTAACACCTCTCTAACAGCGACAAGTATCTCTTTTAACAAAGACAGAACAGGACTCCGGATCTTCAGCCAACAAAAGTAGCAGGTCCTTAATACTGTTTTACTTTCTCTCTATATTTATAAACCTCTCCCAATTATAAACCAAGTGATACTGGTCTTCCGCTTCAGAGAGTGTTACAAAACCTCCTTCTAAGGTAAATCCACTTCAGTGAAAGAAAGTGAATTTATTTAGAGAAAAATATTACGTAAGTAACAGTACAGGTAGCACAGAGATATGGCGAGAACCTTGAAGCTGACATGTAAATGACTGAAATTTGGAAAATGCTTAATGAGTTAGTGACCTAAACAGCTAATCCAAACTCTGATTTTCTAGAAGGCAAGGACCAAGTTTTATCCATCCATCCAGAACCTTATGCAACATGGAGAACATAGCAGGCCCTCTACATACACTCAATTAATTGAGAAATAATTCTTCTCATAAATATCCACTTTGAGCCTTGGGGCTCCCCAGTTCTAAGGCCAATACGAGTACCCCCCCGCCCCCGGCAGGAGTAAGAAAGGATACCATCTCTATGCTGTGCGTTGGAAACAAGTAGAAAGTCCAAACCCCAAACAAAACAGAGCAAAGAGCCAAAAACAAAAGCTGCACAAATGCCACAGCTTCGTGGGTTAGCCTAAGCACAGCTGAAATCCTGCTCCCAAAGACCTCGTGGACAAGTGGAAAGGAAGGCCCTGCTGTCCGGTCAGCCACTCCTGAGAAGAAACTAAATTCAAACCTGAAAAAACTTTCACTAAGAATTTATATAGACAGAGAAATCATTTTACTACCTCACACTAATAAGCTCATTTGGATGATTGAGTAACTCTGATGAAAAGTCCTGGAAACGTTTTAGCACATTTGGGGAACTCCATAAACAATCAGAACGGGGGAGAAAAAAAAAAGCAACTTTTACAAATGAACAATACCTAGAAAAATGAGGGAATAAAAACAAAAATACTAGTTCCATGCAGAAGATTCACTATCGCTATAAAATATCTGAAAAGCTTGTTTCAAAAGACACATTCTAAGGGCACCTGGGTGGCTCAGTCGGTGAAGCATCCGACTCTTGCTTTCGGCTCAGGTCATGATCTTATGGGTCGTGAGATCAGAGCCCCACGCTGGGCTTCCCGCTTGGCAGGGAGTCAGCTTGGAGAGTCTCTCCCTCTGCCCCTCCCCCACTCGCTCACACACACTCTCTCTAAAATAAATAAATAAATCTTAAAAAAAAAAAAGACGTATTCCAAATTTGTAGCCAGTAATCTAAAACTTAGACACTAGAGTATCGATATAGCTTTGACCCTCCCTAATTACCAAGCATGAAGTAGCAGTCTCCTTGGTGAAGGGGTATTGCCAAGCCAGGAGTCTCTATGTCCCACGAGATCTTAAAACCGACATGCCAAGTATCAGGGTCTCTGCCTTCGAGCTGAGGGTCATCCTCACTTTCCTCTTCTGGGCCTGTCAAAAAGAGAAGAATGGGATCAGAAAGGAAATGTCTCATCTCAGGTTCTGGGTTTTATAATCATTAGCTCAGGAATAATTAAGTTTTAACAAAAAATGGATAGGAAGTGAACTATATCCTTTTACATCATATTTTTTTAAAAAAACACATTCTTTCAATATTTTTAACGTGTCTTTTATTCTTTAATCAAAAAAATCTTTAAGTGATGAGGAAATAACCACAGATACCAAGAACACTAAAAGATGATTTATTCAAGTCCACACAAATAAATTAGATAATCTGGATTAAATGGATAGTTTTTTTAGGAAGATATTAACTACCAAAATCATCCCCAGAAGGGGAGAAAAGCTAATGAAACCATAAAAAGATAAAGATAAAGAACCATCTCTTAGGAAAACATAAGTGTCAAGAGTTTCAAAGAAGAATTCTACCAAACAATTAAGGAGTGGGTTATTTCCACATACTTTAAATTTTTTAAGAGCATAGAAAAATAAAAGTTTCCAAATTCTTTTCATGAAGACAGAATATGTATCAAAATCCAAAAAGAAAACACACACACACAAATCTCACATCTGAGAATCAATGCAAAATTCTTAAATATAGGGAAACAGAACCCAAATCCAACAGCATATTAAAAGAATAACATTCCATGACCAAGTAGAACTTATCACAGGAATACAAGGATAGTTCAATATGCAAAGGCTTACACTTAAAATTCATCATATTCTTAGATGAAAACAAAGAGTCACCAGAGATACACAAAATATTCAGTAAAACACATCCTTCCATAATCAAAACATCAATAAAATAATAAGTGGCCAGGTTCCTTAACACAATAAAATACAGATCTCTCTCAACCACAAAGCCAGTATCATATTTTAATAGGGAAACATTAGAAATCTTCCCAAAGTTAAGAATTAGGAAATAATGTCATTTATCACCACAATGACTCATCACTACTCTGGAAGGAATGACCAACACAAGTGTGCTCTCTGGAGTTGCATAGTAAATGAGCCATAATCAGACAAAAGAAAAGGTTTTTTTTAAATATATATAAGAAAAAGTGCTTTTTTGCAAATAATATTATTATTTATCTGCCAATCAACCAGGAAAAATATATCCCAAGCAATAGTCAAATTAAGAAAATGTTAGCTACATACCCTATGACCCAGCAATCGCACTACTGGGTATTTACCCCAAAGATACAAATGTAGTGATACAAAGGGGCACGTGCACCCCAATGTTTATAGTAGCAATGTCCACAATAGCCAAACCATGGAAAGAGCCTAGATGTCCATCAACAGAAGAATGGATAAAGAAGATGTGGTATATATATACAATGGAATATTATGCAGCCATCAAAAAGATGAAATCTTGCCATTTGCAACAACGTAGATGGAACTAGACCGTATTACGCTAAGTGAAATAAGTCAATCAGAGAAAGACAAGTATCATATGATCTCACTGATATGAGGAATTTGAGAAACAAGACAGAGGATCATAGGGGAAGGGAGGGAAAAATAAAACCAGAGGGAGAGACAAACCCTAAGAGACCCTTAATCTCAGGAAACAAACTGAGGGTTGCTGGAGTGGAGGGGGTTGGGAGGGATGGGGTGGCTGGGTGATAGACACTGGGGAGGGTATGTACTATGGTGAGCACTGTGAGTTGTGTAAGACTGATGAATCACAGACCTGTACCCCTGAAAAAAAATTTTTTAAATGCATATTAAAAAAAAAGAAAATGCTAGCTTACAAATGTGTGCATATTAAAACATCCAGCAAGATTCTTAAACGTGTATTGTCTATAAGAAAAAAACTTAAAAATATTATTGAAGGACACAAAAGAAAATTTAAACAAATGTAAAGACATATTATGTTGTTGGGATGTAAAATTGAACACCATGGGAATGTCAGTTCTCCCTAAATTTATCTATAAATTTGACACAAACCCAATAAAAACACCAACAGGATGGATTTTTAGTTACGTGGGGTTGGTAACTAGACAAGCTGATTCTACAAATCACATGGAAAGATAAACAAGCAAGCATAGCCAGGGAAATACTTTTTAATATATAAAGAGCTACTACTGCACATCAATAAGATAAAGATCAATACTCAAACAGAAAAATGGGCAAAAGATATGAAGACAGAACACATAAAAGGAAATAAGTACGTAAACATTTAAAAGATGTTCAAACTTATTCATATAAGAGAAATTCATATTAAAGCCACAACAGATATTTTTAAGTTATCAGATCAGAGAAGATCAAACACTTTGATAAATATAGTGTCAGTAAGAGTGTAGCAAAATAGCATACTCACACTCTCTGTAAAGGACAATCTGATGATACTTATCAAAATTATAAATGCATAAACACTTTGAACTTAAAGGAATCCCACAGTTCCACTTTTAGGAATGTATCCTCAAATTCCTACTTGCAGAGGTTGCAAAATGACTTTTGAGGAAAGATGTTTATTGTACCACTGTTTATAAGAGCAAAAGATCAGAAATAACCTAAACAGGGGCGCCTGGGTGGCTCAGTCATTTAAGCATCTGACTCTTGATTTCGGCTCAGGTCATGACCTCAGGGTCATGGGATCAAGCCCCAAGTCAGCCAGGCTCTACACTGAGCATGGAGCCTGTTCGGGATTCTCTCTCTCCCTCTCCCTCTGCCCCTCTACCCCCACTCACGTGCACGCATGCTTGCCCACGCTCTCTCTCTCTCAAGAGAGAAAGAAAGAGAGGGAGGGAGAGAGGGGGGAGGGGGAAAGAGGGAGGTAGGGAGGTAGGAAAGAAGGGAGGTGGGGAGGGAGGGAGGGAGGGAGGGAGGGAGGAAGGAAGGAACCTAAATATCCATCAATAAGTTTCTGGTTAAATAAATTATGAAATGTGCAGGCAATAAAATACTATGTAACCTCTAAAAGTAATATGACTATACACTGATACAAAACTATCTGATACATTTTGAAGAGAAAGAAACTGACAGGCTATAATCTGTATAAAAAAATACAAACATATACACACAGGTGTGTATATATATACAGGTAATATTCTAGAAGGATATTCTATTCTAGAAGGATATTCTATTCTAGAAGGATACTCAAGACTGACTTTTCTGGGAGGAGAACAACGTGTCTGGGGTACAGGAAGGGAGAGACACGTAAATGAAGTGAAAGGCATACAATGTGATCTGCCTACATGAACAGTCCTGCAGGGATTGCCCTATATAAAAATTTATAATATAGGTTCATTTACAAAATATTTATTAAGCACTTACTATATATGAGGCACCAACCTGGACACTTGGGCTCTATCAATGAATGAATCAAAGAGCTTTGCCCCAGTGGAGCTTTCTTTCTAGTGAAGTTATAAATGTTCATCACTGATTACTAGAAAAAGGACAGTTTAAATTCCATTAGAAGCTAGATTCCGGTCTTTAAGGGGAGGGTCCATTTTTCTGTTTCATCCAGATTTAGAGCTCTACTAACTGGCACATAGAAGGCATTCAATTGTACTTAACTGCTTACTTAAAAACAAAATGCTCTGTTCACAGCTATTCACAGTCCTTTCGGGGCTAGATGGCAGGAAAAAAGAAAATGTTAATTGAAGGGGGGGGAACCCTGCAAATTAAATCAAATAACATAATAAAGCATTACACTGCTCATTTAGTGTATGTAGGTCTTAACAGTAAAGAAGTTTAGAGAAGGGACAGGTTTAGTGAAGGTTAGAATGGGTAGAGCAGAATTCTTGGAGAAGATCAAACTTGAAAGACAAGTAGGGTCTAGATTCCCAAAGGGAAGAGTAAGAAGTGATAAAGGAAGACAAACAGTTGCGAAGCTCCCTGTGATCACAATGGGCAATGAAGCATGTTTCACCTAGGCCATATCATGTTCATGGCACACACACAATCCAAAAATATGTGCGTCCTGGATGGCACATCTCCATATATGGAATTCCTAAATTCTGAACATGTTAACGCTACAATAACTGGGCATAAGGGCCAAAGGCAGTAAAAGAAGGGGGAAAAAGGAGGAAACCCCCTTTATAACTATTCATATTACTTTGCACAGGTATGGTGGGAAAAAAGCCAGACCAGAAATCCAAGTTCAGGGAAGGAATGCTACTAAATGACCTTTAAGGAATTCCTTAAGTTTGAATCTAAAATCTGATATTGCCACGGTGCGCCTGGGTGGCTCAGTCGGTTAAGCGTCCAACATTTGGTTTCGGCTCAGGTCATGATCTCAGGATCGTGGGATTGAGCCCTGCCTCGGGCTCCACACTCAGCAGGGAGTCTGCCTGAGTTTCTCTCTCCCTCTCCCTCTGCCCCAACTACCCCCACCCCCACCTTTTCTCTCTCTAAAATAATACATAAGGGGCGCCTGGGTGGCTCAGTCGTTAAGCGTCTGCCTTCGGCTCAGGTCATGATCCCAGGGTCCTGGGATCGAGCCCCGCATCGGGCTCCCTGCTCGGCGGGAAGCCAGCTTCTCCCTCTCCCACTCCCCCTGCTTGTGTTCCCTCTCTCGCTGTGTCTCTCTCTGTCAAATAAATAAATAAAACCTTTTAAAAAAAAAAATAAATAAAATAAAATAAAATAATACATAAACCTTTAAAATCTGATCTTCCCATTTGAACAGAATCTTACCCTTTTTCTTCCTATTTGTTATTTCTGATACATGCTTTCGCAAGCATTCTTTAGTTAGGAGCAACTTTTAGCAAGTATTCTTTAAGAATAAAGTCCTACAGTAAAAAGTCTAAAGTCATTTTTCTACATTAATCCCAAAAATATTTAAAGGACAACCCTCTAGAACAGGAATGACAAATACCTTACATATCAGAGGACACAACTCATTCATTGGTCATGGCTTTTGTGAGCCCTGGCACAGAATTATCCTGAATTTTTCTCCAAGCTAGCAGGAAAGAGTGATATCATCAATTACTAATATCTGTCATTGGCACTAGAAGGGGGAGTTAGCAGCGGCAAAACTAGATATTTGC